AGCAGGAACTCCTGACTGGGGCCCAAATATAGTTTCCTTAATTTACCACAGTATAGTTGATATAAAGCCCTTATTATTTTAAGTCTTCCTCTTATCCCTTTCAACATAATCATAGAGGATCTCTATTGTGTTTACACTTGTCATGCATTGGGCTCAGGGTGTTTCATACTGTTCAATTCTCACAGTATTTCTGTGAAGAGGATACTATATCTTCTTACAGAAGAGAACACTAGCCAACAGAGATCAACTTTGCCCAAGGTCATACATTCACTAAGTACCTTCTGGAATTCTTTTATCTATGGAGAGAGGGAGGACTACGAAAAATAGACTTTACAAACTGGTTAATCAAATACATTCAATGATTGAGTGAAATCTAAATCAGATCTACATTCAACTGAGGATAGGAAATGGGTGAAGAGATGGGTGGAGAGCTGCTGAGGTCATTCGAGAGCAGAGAAGTTCAGGTCTGATCCCCGTCTGGCTCCCATATGTAGTCTTTCTCTAATGTGCTGACTCAGTTCCACACTATGCTTGCAGAGAAGTCCAATAGTTCAGCCATTTCCTGGACTGACTGAAAATTTAAACCACTAGAAAAATAAGGCCTGAAACAGCTGGCCACTTTAAATAAAACTGGAAATTATTTCCAGGACCAGCTGATGGGATCCACAGTAATAGAAAACCACATATTGTAACACTTCTAAGCCCTTGAAGATAGTTTCATAGGGACACTGGCCTGGCCCTTGGTTGATCAGATTTCTGATATAAGTTCACCCAATAAAGTTGAAACTGTCCTCTAAAATCATAGAGGCTGCTGTGATAGTTTTGGAAGTTCCATCTCTGCCACAGGAATGACAAGAACTGAGACAGTCTGGGATCAGGGATAAGTTGGAAGAACTGATCTCTGGAAAGCCAGCATTTATAACCCAGTTCCAGATTAATTGACCCTCAGCTCATAGACATGCAATAGAGGTGGATGGTTAACTGAGTTTCTCTAGGCTCCTGTCCCTGGAGACCTAACATACATGCTTCTGTACTCTGCTTCTCACACCAGAGCTTACTACACAGGAAATTTTATTACTCTCACTGTGACCAAGAGGTACTTATCTTGGTACCAAGAGGTACTTATCTGACATTGACCAAGCAGAATGAAATGTCTGATTGACAGTTAGCTCCTATGGTCCTGCTGAGGCTATTTTTAGGCAGCTAGGACACATTTATGTGTAGGTGGAGGTGGCAGGAGGAAAGAAAGGGAGCCATTGGGCTGGGATCTTTCCCATCTCTCCTCACAGAGGCTATTGAACATCACACCTGCCAGCTTGCCAGTTGTCAGAGCACAAACAGCCAGGGACGTGGGACAGGCCACAGACTCAACTTTTCCAACAGAAATGAATGCAGAATAAACTCTCACAGATTCCGTTTGCACCTTCATGCCCAGTGCCCTCACAATGACAGAAGCACTGCCAATCCAGCGGTGGGGTGTGTGTCCGGGCTTCTCAAAGGTCAAGCAATGTAATCCAGCTTAAAAAGCACAGATTTCAGCCAGATCCCAAGTTGATCCCATTTCCATCACTTAGTTTGTGTGATCTTTGGCAAAAGATAACTAGATCTCTTGTATTCTATAATGTATCCACCAATATAAGCCACAGATGGAACCTCCAGATTTTGTTGTGAGAATTACCAGATAAAGTGGATACTAAGAGACATCATTTCTTTTCTTCCCTCACACAACTTTTATAGACGTTCTCCTCTCGTAATCTCTCCACCCCAGGCCATAGCTGATTTAACCAGCATGGGACAGGAACCTACTGCCAGCCCAAGGAAACTAAAGGGTGGTTTGACTATTTTAGACACACTGGAAGATGCTGAAAAAGTCAGACCATGGTTGGGGAGGGGAGAACAAAACAGACCCATAAAAAAAAAAGTTAATAGATTACAAACCCCAGAGAACAAGCTTCGCTCCAAATGGGACTTTGACCCTTGTGGGATTCACAGGTTCTTATCCCCATCTGTGACAATGTATATTTTAGATTAAGTTGATATAAGTTAGCTTGTTTCTGACAACCAATAGAGATAAGGATTTAAGCACCTACTGTCAGGTGCTAGACATAATTAGCTATTATTCAAAACATCTTACTCACAATTTACTGCTATATGCTTCATAGATATTGATGTCACTAAGATAAGCTGATACCCAGTAGGACTACCTGAATGGTTTATAGTTTTTGATTCATCAAACTAGCTATATAGCTCCACGAACAATTTATACAGTAACTGCAGATTGAAGCTGAAAAAAGAAGACACACTCTTCTGTTTTTCTATGTAAGTCTTTCACATTAAATAAATGCTTCCTTGACTAATGAAAAAATAATTATAATATTCTATTGAAGCTGAGAAAGAAAGCAACCTTTGTTTACTTTTTAAAAGATAAACATGGCTGATCTGCACTAACCATAACATTTTGAAAGAAACAAAACAATATTCAACATTTTTAGTCTATAAATAAATAATTCCCTATTATACTTATTCGGTTAGCAAAAGATAAAGTTGGAAATGAGAAAATTGAATAATGTGTGCAGTTTTAAAGGTATCAGACACAGGCTTTGATTCTGAAGAAATTAAGACACAAACAAAAAAAAAATGCCTATAGTAATGAACTTAGTAAAGAAACTTAAAGGTTTGTACATAAGCTTTTACATGCTTGACTTGACAGACTAAAACATTTTTCAAGTCCTTAGTTCTGGGAACAGCAGCAAAATGGGAGACAATTAAAAGTGGTGTTTATGAGTCTGCTGTATTATCGGGAATAAATTTAAGACAACTGTGTCAATCATGTCCAGGTAAGTCCCGTTGGTACTCTATCAAGCTGGCATACACTGATTTCATGTTTCAGTTTCCTTGGTTGAAAATGTACCTCCGAGATAACAGCCTAGAAGAGTAATGGGGTTACAATGCAAAGCTGCAGAACCTGTCTCACTGCATTATAGTTCCAGCACATAAACAACCACATCTGTAATTAAGATGGAAAACCTGTCTTAAGTGGTGGCCTATACCAGAAGTATAATTTATGGCAATAAAGACAAATAATGGTATGAAGGGCATGAGAGTTTATTTTAAAAAACTGTACCACACTGATCATGAGGACCAGCATACATGTTATGATGGCTTTTCTCTTGGGCATTAACATTGCAGTGGTTTAGTATACTGAAAATAGGACCAAGAATGTTAGCAGAAAAGATTTCAGATGAAAACAAACACTAATAATTCTGGTGTCCTACCCCACAGAATTCATTTAGACCCCTTATGAATCAGTGGCATTATGTTATGTAGTTATGAAGAACGAGAGTTCTTTCATATGTAGGCAGTATGAAATTATACTTCCTTGTACTTTAATCTTTGCATTTTATAATTTAAACTATGCCCACCCTGGCTAAAACACAATCATACAAGACACCTCAGATAATTTTCATGTAACCATCGCACAAGTTTTAGTGATTTTACTTTAAAAAAAAAAATCAAACCACCTTCCAAATAAAGAGGCAAATCATTTCAAAAGCACAGTGCTTGTTTTTCCAATAAAGACTCAAACTTAAATTAAAAGCAATAATTATAATCTCCAAACTTCTGCAATAAAATTAACAATTATGTGTATATGGGTTTTGTTTATAGAACTGTATTTTTCAGTCATTAAGAGAAAGTTACCTTTTAGAGAATATATTTGGTTACTGTTTCACATATCTGTGTAAGACAACGTCACACAATATTAAATCTGGCTCTATATAACCTTAAACAAAAGGTTATATCATTCAATATGATGATACTCTGATCTTAAAAATTCAACTCATAAGAGATTGCTATCTTTGAGTAAATGTGCTGTTGAGCAATGATTTCAATAACTTTTTTGACTATCTATCTGCAAATTGACCCTTATCTTTAATCATTGTGACTCACCAATACTGCAAACTGACCTCTTTCCTTCCATGTTACCATTTCAATACCCAGGGATTTCTGAGGCAGCATAAGATTGACTTCATAGAAACAGTAGATACTTTAACCTTTCAGTGACAATTTTTCCATCTGTAAACGCAAGAATCACATTATTTAGCTCAGCAACTATAAAAACATCGAGATTTGGGGCATTTCAAGCCAGAATCTCTTTGTGCTTTTTAAATTCAGCTGCTTGTGAATCTTTTTGGTATTTATCAGTCATTTGTATTTCCCTTGTAATAGTAAAAGAATATATCTAAAATAATTTTTAAGGTTAAATGTTCTGGGGGGCTTGTCAACATTTTAAAGAAAAAAATTATTTTTTTTCCCAGCATTTGGAATAGTAGAAATTATTTCTGGTCCCTCCTTAGATCAACCAACACTACTTTTCGTCACGTATAACACTGAATTTTACAGACATCCCTGAAAAGTTTTTTGATTAAGTAAACGAGTGAATCACAGTGGAGTCTCAATCAGTTAACAGTGTAGATCCATTAAAAAAAAAAAATCACACTGAATACTAAAAGGAAATCTTCAAGCTAAAAAAAAAAAAGAAAAGAAAAGAAAGAAAGCCCTCCTAAAAACTAAAATCAAGTGTTTCATCACTGATTCTGTGCTTGTGTCCCTGACTGAGTCGATTCCTTCTTCTCTGTTCTTTAAAATCTCCACGCCAAGTTTCCAGGACACTTGAGTGAAGAGGCTATGCTACTGTATCACCTAAGGGAAAGAATGGCACCATTTTCTCCCCTAATAGACCTGATATCCAAAGATGAGCATCCAGGGTCCCTCAGCTGTGCCCCTCAGACTGTTTCAGGAAACAGTACTTGCTGCGCAAACTGATGACAGCTGATCCTCCCACCAATCCCCAACGCCAACAAGGTTACCAGAAGTTTGTCATTATATGCACTGGCCTTTCACTCTTTCAATCACAAATGTTGTGGTTACTTTTTATAAAAGGAGGGGATTGGAGGGTGGGAAGGGAAGGTGGAAAAATGAAAACCAAGAGTCTAAAGGCACAAAGTCGCATAGCTGCTCTAGTTGGATTTTGTAAACAGAGAATAGGTTGAATTTAGGTAATCCCAATCTATGAGAGTAAAAAGGCATCTGCAGCAGGCTTTTTCCAGCCAGCTTCTTCAAGACCCTTCATGGGTTCTGAGGTCTACAAAGTATGCACTAGAATACCCATACTTCAAAAAGCAATAAGGCAAATAGTATAATCATTATTCCAAAAGTTACAATGGTAGTGTAGGCATACATAGTATAATTTAGTTACAATGTGTGGTACTGTTTCTATTACATAACCATATTAACTGTTTCTTTCCTAAGTAATTATATATTCAGCAGAGTTTCAGTTGAACACAAAACCATCCTTGTACCACCACTGATAGTTGGCAAAAGCTCTTTGATAGCAGTCTTCATTCTGCTGCAGAAATTATCCTTGAACTGAAAAAGTACACAATCCAATGTCCAGTCATTAAACACTATCATATTTGTGAAGAGCTTCTTCCAACTTCTGGGTCACTTTTTGGAAAAATATTATTTGTTGTTGTAAGAAATGCTGCATCTGTGATTTAAAGTCTCTTACTCGAATTTGATGGAAGTGGTGAATCTCAGCCAAAGTCGCAAAAGAAATAGTGTTACAGCGATCCTGAATGCCATCAGCCTTTTGGAGCTCCATCTTCCCTTCCTCCACATGCCGCCTACTCTCCTTTACTTTGGTAAGAGCTCCTACAGTTAAAAAAAAAAAAAAAAGTTAAAAAGTGTACATATACATGTGTCTCAAAAGTATAGTACATAGAAAACAGATATTTTATCAAATTATTTATTAAACATATTATAAATATAACACTATAACTACCTAGCTTACTTTAAAGTCCCTAAGAATTGAAATTGATGACTAATAGCTTACTAAAAAAAGAAGGAATATGGTAAAGCTAGCATTTTCTACTGATGAAGTATCTACAGTACATCGCATTTCTTCCAAGTAGAGTTATTACGTACAACCGAAAATAAACTGCAAGGAACTGTCCCTAAAAAGACAACCAAAAAAACTGCAGTTTGTACATTCTTAAGAGAAAGGTGTAACATCACAAATTAATATATATTAAAGGGATTATCTATGAAAACAATACCTCGACAGAAGAGACAAACCAACTTCTCAGACCATCTCACTAAAGAACTACTATATAAGACCACAAAGCCAGACTCTGAAACATGTTGGCACCAACTTGGGTTGTTTTGGAAATCATTCCATGCTATGGAATGGCAAGGCAGTGCTGGCGACCAACAATTAGCAGTCACCCTCACTGGGGTTGGCCAAGTCCATGTCTTCTTGGTGTTAGTGTGACTCCATTCTATCAGGAGACCTACACCTGGAGAATAGGGCCCTCTGGATTCCTTTCCTGGACAGACTGAGTTTTGAGAGTCAGTGAATTCAGTTTGCCTAGTGAATAATTGGGAATGAAGCCAGAAGTCCACAGTCTCTTGTCGAGAAGTATCACCAGAGGGTGTGTGCGCAAGAGGGAAGGGAGAGGGCAGGTGCCGTGAGATCAGGCCTTCCCCGAAGAAGTTATGAAAACACACCTGTCCGAGGTCATTTAGGGTTAGGAAATAAAGGATATAGGTTCCTTGGACTTTGTAGGTTCTTTGGAATGAGTGATGATAAAATTCAAGTAACTTAAGTGGATTCAGTTCAAGACTCCAATTTCCTGACTTTAGCACTCATTGTACTAAACCGTAATGTAAGAGAAAATAGAGATAAATTTCTAGGATACCTAGGTTGGCAGTCTGAGAAAACAATGATTCCAACTGTTAGGAGCAGTCTGTTTATGAGGAGATGGGGAAGTTGAGGAACCATTTCAGCAATGTTCAGTTTTAGCAAATGGTGAAATATACAAGGGAAAAAAGTCTTAAATGCAAATTTCTTAAAAATTTCCTGCAAAATAATGCAGAATAAACTTACATTCCATAAAGCCCTTAAAGGTTAAAAGTGTCTGTTGGAAACATAACTAAAAACCTGAGAAATTAAAACCAGTAACAAATATTTTACATATATGTATATATGCAATGGTGTATATTTCTATTAATTTATTCTAAATGAGATCTTTAAATGATAAGCATGCAAGGCCTGAAGCAGAGTGGGGATCCAGCTTCTACTTGACTCCAGGGCAGAGACATGCGGTCTGCTCAAGAGAGAATCTATTTGCACGAACATGGCCCAGAAAGACTGCTGACCATCCACTAAGAGGCCATCCCTCTGCAGGTACGGCACTTTCTATCATGGTGCACAGGTCTAGTGAGGCACAAGGCTGCCTGCTGAGTAGTTTGTATTAAAAAGAGAAAGTATTTTTGCTCAAAAGAGAAAAATAATAATTTCTTGTAACAAATTTAACTTTATTATATCTGTACAAGTTTCACATTTTATATATGGTAACTAAAGGTAGAGAAAATTCAGGAAAGTATGAGAAGGAAAATTTTCAGTAAGACCACAAAGAAGATATTAAGAAATACATGTTTGAAACATGTAAGTGCTTGCAGGAGGAAGGAAGGGGGAGAACAGGAAGTTAAAAGAGAAATATCTCTGTGGGATTTCATTATCTTTTTCATATGCTGCTGATCAGAGCTGCCTGAGATATTCGGACCTGAGAACACTGGAGATGAGCAAGCCCACCACTGTTCAGATCCCCTGCCTCTACGGAAGTATCCCTTGTTCTGGAGTGTCATGAGAGAAGTGAGGACAGCATGCGAGCAGCTCTGAAAGGTCACCCAGAGAGCTGTGAATTCAACTAAATTGCAGCTTGTCAAACTCCAAGTAAGATCAGCATATTCTTGGAAATTACATTCTAATACAGAACTGCATAAATGCATCTATAAGAACCAATTTAAAAATGAGTAAATCTGAAGGTCTGACAGAACAAAATTTGTTAAAAAGAGGGGGCAAAGAATGACGTTTGGCAACTCATCACATCAGCACACATTTTCAAAATTCTTGGAAACAGTAACAAGTATTAAATCTGTTCTAACTGAAACATAGCTTATTAACTTTCTCCCAGATCCATCTTTAGATGATTAACAATAATATAAATTAACAGCAATAAAATAAAACAAAACAGTCACAAGAATCCCTGACTATATCCCTGAGTTGAAGAGACAGCAGCACACAGTTCCTTCTGTAAAAGTACAACAGCTGGCTGTTAATGCTCAGGATGACAACATCCTAAGTTTTTTTGTTTTGTTTTTTTAAGTTAGCTTTGCAGATGTATTTTACAAGTTTTAAAGAATACATTTCCTTAAGAAGAAATCCAGCTCATTTTTTCAATTTTGTTTACATAACCCTAGTTAGTTCTTCCTATATATATTTTGCAAGACACAGGACTCTAGTCATGTCTATCTTAGGAGAAAGACATAGTCAAAATATTCAAAAAGGTAATTATGGAAGTTAGCTTTCTGTTTTACTGCCTGGGGATAAAAAGGATGGAGAGGAGGGGATAGCATCTTTTAAACAGCTCTAGTTATACCAACAAATAACAAAGGTGTTTAACAAACTTTTGCAAGTTTCCAGGGAGTTTGCCTTTCTACCCAATCTTTCTACCCAATGCATTTCTGAATGGAGGGAGAGGAAAGCCGGAACATATTTTTCCAATAGAAACTATATTGCAAATACTGGTTAAACATTAAGTGCAATGATTGATTACTAGAACTAGAAGTTGGGTATTACTGAAGTTGATTTTGTTCTCAGAGTTGACCTGATAATTCAATTATCTATGTTTCTACTCTTCACATATATTCATATTTTAACAGATTATCACAAGAAAGAGAGATGATCAAATTTTCAATCCGGTTTATTAGTCTCTAAGGAGGCTGAAGAAAGAAAACTATTCCTATAGAATTAGATTACTATGGACTTGTTACTTCTAGGCTTAAAAATTAATTTGTAGCTGATTAAGAAGCAATTCAGAGATACAATGTAACCAGCTATAGAGCTATAACAAAGCATTACAACATCTTTTAAGTATTCTCTCAGCTGTACATCTCTTATCAAACCTAAGAGGACTGTAAATAAAAAATTATAAACATTGTCCAGAATTTAAAGAACAAGGGACCACACTTTTTTAAAAAGATTTATTTATTTATTCATACAGATCTGGGGTACAGACCAGAGATGCGGAGGGTGAGAGGATTCACCAGGAACAGAGTGGGGAGCAGAACAGGCAGATCAACGAAGTACACTGCTGAGGAGAGCAGCGGGCGGGTCAGGAGAGGTCTGCCACGCCATGTGGATCTCCTCCGGGGTAGGCGGGGATCGAACCCATGCGGAAGTGGCTTTAGCTTCTTAGTGCTGAGCTTTAACCCGCTGCGCCACCAGGAAGGGATCACACATTTTTATCATGAATTCAATATGGAAACAGGCAAAGGTTTTCAAAAGTTCCACTTTTTAAGTGGCTCCTTTTTTAGGAGGGATATTCCCTCCATCAGCCTAATTCCCTTCATGAGCATCATACTGCCACACTGCATCCAAAGTAAAAGAGAAATGAAAGCAAAAGAGAGAAATTACAAAGCAAAGTCTAAGGTGAAAAGTCTATGGTCATTGCTGAATTAAACAAAAATCTCCATACACTCATGGATAGGGCAATCATTTTTGAATAAAAGAAAAAAAATCAAGAGTGATCAAAAGAAGCAGAGTATATCACTATGAATTTGTTTCTCAGACTACTAAACTTTAGCTGCATTTGGTAGCTGCATTTGGGATAAAATATGAGCATATTAAAACAGATAGTGAAAACAAGATATAGGCAAGTATTCAATTCTGAGATTAAAGGTAAAGGAGCTGCAATACAGAGAACAATGTGAGCATATTCTTCTTTATTTAAAACACACACACACACACTCACACATGGGCCCTTCCTGGTGACGCAAGGGGTTAGGAAGCAGCACTGCAAGCTAGCTGCAGCTGCTTCAGTGTGAGTTCGATCCCCAGCCCTAGAGTAAATCCACACAGCACTGCAGACCTCTCCTGACTCACCCACTGCTCCTGTTAGTTGTGTACTCCGTCGATCTGACTGTTCTGCTCCCCACTCTGTCTCTGGTGGATCCTCTCACTTCTCCTATACCTCTGGCCTGTACCCCAGTTCTGTATGCACGAATAAATCTTTAAAACACACACACACACAATAACAGAGTGGTATTTATAGTTTGGAAGAAAACACAGATTACAAGAAGGTAACACAAGTGATAGTGCAGCCTCCCCAAGTTATACAACTAGAATAAACCCCAAAACGCATTTGAACTACAGGAAAAAGTACTGTTGAAAGTCTGGCAACACATTTCAACCACACCCATTACTGTGCTCCTAAGTAGGCAAAAGTAGCCCATCTGTCCTGCAGGACACCAGGCTAAGTCTGAAGATGGTTCTTCCTTAGGGGTTCTCTGTGCAAAGGAGGCAGAAAAGAATGCAGAAATAGCCTTCCTCTGTAGGCTGAGAATTTTCAATTGAGCACTCAATTTGATTATTAAATTAGTTTGGTGAATTATTAGAATTTCTCCACAGGACAGAACATCTTCAAAGAAACTAATTACCCTGGGACTTCATTCCAAAGGAGGAACAGAAACCCTGAAGGTTTTTTTCTCATCACTGCTGCCCTGAGAGATACTCTTAGAGGAAGGTCAAATACAGCTATTCACTGGCCAGAAAGGCAGAATTTGTTCCCACATTTTTGTTGTTAAGAGCT